CCTGCCCGTTTATTTTTTCATCTGTTTTATTTTTTGCTTGTATTTAGTTGGTAAAAATTATTACTTGTTAAGAATATCCCATGTTCCCTTTAAAAATGATGATAATTTTTCTTTTTCTCTCTAAAAAAGCCTTAAAATTGAAATAACTTTAAACGGGATGGGAACCATGTTTTTTGTACCCGTCTCGTAGCCACTTTGGGGCAACTATCCCCATCTTGCCCCATCCCCCTTCAGTGAGGGACCCGTGGGCAGCGGGTTTAACAGGTTTTTTTGTCTTTCCTATTCTGTTACTAGGCGATGGATAGGGTCCCACCAACATTTTAATAATTAGAGTATAGAACACATTATTGACCCATTTGACATAACTTTTGTTTTTTACTTTATGTAAAAGAGTTTCCTGAAAAGGCTAATTTTTTATCGATAACAAATTTCGAAAAGAAATTCTCATTTCAAAAGTATTTTAAAAGAAGCCACATTGATATCGTGTTTCTGAATTGAGCATTTGTTTGAGCCCCATTATTTGGTTAAGAACGCTTTTTAAAAATAATAGATTGATGGAGAATGTGTAATTAAACAATAAGAAAAAAATTTAAATTTGCGAGTATATTATTTTATTAAAGAATACATGATTGTAAAGAAGAGACAGAAAAATATACTTTAAAAATGATGAGAATCAAAAAAGGGCTTGCCTGAAGATAGATTTTGTACTTTGTAATCATCACTATTGCAATTTCAACTATTGAAATAGCCATCACTATTTCAATACTCACGTGCTCCATGCCAATTATGGTAATGAAAGAATAAAGTATAGCCTGAAGATAGAATTTGTACTTTCTAAATAAAAAAAAAAAAAAAAAAAAAAAGGTTGAACCTCAACCTTAAGGGCCCCCACCGACCCTATCCTGGACCATCGTGGAGGAGGTAAATCGCAGGATGTGCCTCTCAGGAGCCAGGGTGGAGAGCACATGGATAGGCCAAAGCTGTTAACCCATATGGTAACTCCCGCTTGCAACAAAGCCAATTCCACCTTACGGGAAATCGAACTCTGCACACTGCCGCGCTGAGCCCTATCCGCCCTCCCCTTTGCCACTGGGAGATATGCTCTGGGGGCATTTGTACTTTCTAAATTAGTCCACATAGTCGATGGTGATTAGCTTGTCTTTTGACCAATAATTCAATGCGACTTCTTACATATTTAACTTCATACTAAGACGTACAACTAAACTTGAAAGAGTTCAGTATCTGATACAACTTGTATCTTCTTATTTCAAAGTTGTCAATTTCAATCTCTTCTTCAACAAAAAATGGAAGTGAAAGAAAGGTTAAAAGTATTAATTAAGGAGGGATCTATGAAAAAAAAATAAAAAAATAAAAAGTGGGTTCCAAATCCAACCCAGTGTGAACTCTGGCATTTTTTTTTAAATTCATAAATTTGCCTGTGAGAGAGAGGGAGAGGGAGAGGGAGAGGGACAGGGAGAGAGGGAGAGTATTTGTACAACATTTTTATACCAATAAGTTTCATGGTCCTCTCATATGGAGGGGTGGGTTTTCGTTAATTGCGAGCTTACCCACTTGAGATGGTTACGAAACTTACTGTATAAAGTGCTATACATCTAGCACTTCTCGAAAGATAAAAGGGATTCAGCTCACCTCAAAAGCTAAAATTCAGTCTACTGAAAAATCTAACCCACCTTTAACCGTAGTGATCGACCGTCTATTGACAAGATGTACACAAGCAAGTGGTAATTGAGCTAGAATCACTTAGTTGTGTTGTAGATAGTTGATTCTATAAGTGAGAGAATCTGAATGACTGCCTACCAACAATTATGTGGAACTCAAGAAAACAAAATAAAAGGAAGTATCGTTAAATTTTTTTTAAGGGGATCACCTGTGTGGCAGTAGTTGGAAACCATTCGACAATCAAGTCAATGATGTTTATCAATAGAATGTAAGAGTGTTAGATAAAAAATAAATTTGGTGATTGTGATTGAGTGTGCTTTGAATTCTGACGATGATGGTATTTATAGGAACAAGATCACCACCATCTAGATGAGATTAGCGATGATCCTTCCAGATTTTCGATTGGTTGAAGATACCAAACTTGATATAATCGGTCAAGATGATTCGAACGTTCATAGACAAATATATCCGCATCTTAGACTTAAGTCAAGTCTAATATAATTGATTTAAATATTGGTGGTTCCCAGTTGACACATCATTCATTGACTATTGTTCAGGTCATTTGATATTCCGAGTTGGAACAAAGTCTTGTCTCTTCAAATGGGCATGGTCATGTTGAGGAAGGGGATTTAAATGAGAAAATGTAATGCGATTTAATTTTAGTCTGGTTATTGGGCTTAAATCGTATGGTAAATTCACGCTTTTATTTTTTTAACTAATTTTTTGCTGACTTCTTGTACATAAATGACACATTTTGTTGACATGTTGACGCTTTACGACATCACATTTACGTAAGACTCAATGTAATATTCTTTTAACAAAAAGAATAATAATAATAAAATAAAACTATTGGCCCATGTTTAATAATGATTAAAATTTCAATTTCAATTTAAGTCAAAGTCAAAAATTAATTTTAACCACATATTTTATGGGATCTAAAACTTTTTAATTATACATTTCATTAGGGCTGAACAACGAAACCACCAAACTGTAAAATTGAACCGAAATCATTGGTATGGTTCCAGTGAATCCGTTAACGTTTTGATTTTGAATCGAACCAAACCGTTTCGAAAGTTTGGTTTAAGTTTAAATATTTGCAAATCATTTCAAACTATCAAATCGTTTACAAAAAAAAAAATATCTGAAAATAAATTAGTCTAAATTTCATTTAACCCAATTAAAACTTGACACATTTCAATTGAAAAAAAAAATCTATATTAGACATAATTCAATTAAACTCAATTCGACAATTATACATCTCAATTAATTAATTATTCATATCCAAATATTCATGAGTCATCACAACTGTGAATGTAAAATCCTTAAATTGGGTAAAGTGTTGAACAATTGATACTAAACCACATCCATCGATTCTCCATTACAATTGAACGGACAATAAAATCTAGATTTTAATTCAAACATGTACATTTCATTTCCTTCTAATAATTCTCAAATTTTGCTCAAATTCAAATCAGATTACCAAAATTCTTTTATTTTTTATAATTATTTTATATTTTTATTGGTTGTTTTGTTGTTTTGTACTAATAATTGTCGATTTGTCAGTCTCCCTTAAAGTAATTCGCCAATATTTAGATGGAGTAGAAGTTTTGAATGATTCACAAAAAATCATAATAGCTAGGTACCATTGTATTTGAATTTTTTTATTCATTTTCTTTTATTAATTATTTTATATCATTTAACTATAATCAATGAATTTATGTACTATATTTTTATATTTATGAAAAAAATAAATCATGTATTACACTTGCAAATGGATGTCATTAATATCGACTAAGAGTTTAAAATATTTATATCATATCGTTGTATTATAATGATTATAATTATATAAATTTGATTTGTAATTTTTTTAATAATACAATTTATGTTTTAACATAAAATTTTAGACTAATATTTATGATTTAACTTATTTGATATATATTAATTTTTTTGTTAAACCGTGATTTTAAATCGAACCAAATCGAAAAAAAATGGTTTGAATTGATTTGGTTTGGTTTGGAAAAATTTCATACTGCTTTAAATGGTTTGGTTTGAAAATTTGTCTCAAACTGTCCAAATCGAACCGTGTTGACCCTTATATTTCATCAACTTTTATAAAAATTTACTAGAAATCTCATTTGAACCATTACCAAAAAGGGCCTTAAAATTTCTGTGACCATGAATAAATACCTTTATTTATCTATTTATATCCAAATAACAGTTTTTAGTAATTTTAAATAAAAGTTTATAAAATATATGGTGAAAAAGTTGTAAATTCCATGAAATGTGTGGTTAAAGTAATTGTTAAATACGACTTAAATTAAAATGCTATATTCTAATCCCTACCAAACATGGGCTTAGAAAAATCGTCACCAAACACCACCAAATATTGAGTAAATGTTTCATTCGCCTTTGAACTTGACATTCTTTACGTTTTACACTTTTACTTGCTGAACTTAATAGATTACAATCCATCACCAGTCACCATATTCTATTAGTCTCTGAACTTTAAAAATGCTTTCAAGTGAACATTAAAATTTAATTTGTTGTACTTTATCACTCATTTATCATGTTTCGTTAGTTAATAAACTTATACCTCAAGCCCTTGTTTGATATCGATTAAAATCCAGATTTTAATATAAAAATTTTAATCAACAATCAATTTTAACAACATATTTCATGGGTCCCACAACCTTTTAACCACATATTTCATCAATTTTTATTAAAATTTACTAAAAATTTAATTTTAATCCTTACTAAATTGGGGCCAAGTCAATCTTTACTCGCTAAACATTAAAATATTTTGGAGAAATTTCTGAACTTTACTCACTAAATCTAACTATCAAAAAAATTGAAAATTTTGAAGTATAAAATAACATACACGAAGAAGGCGTCATTTTTTCCTCTTGAATTATGTTATGATAACTCTTAAAATTACATTTTGTTACAGTTATTGATATTAGTGAATCTATATAAAAATTCACTGCATGTTTGTGATATAATTTTATTTTCTTGACTTGGGTCTACATCAATTGAAATAAAAATAATAATTTATCTATTTTATTTTTTCAATATAAAGGAAGATTATGATCTAAATTAATAAATATGTTAATTTGAAGCTAGCTTTTTTTTATTTCCACATGAACATAGGTTTTGACGATTAGAGAAATTATATCTTCTTGATCAATATCAATGTTCTGGTCATGGAATGAGAGTCTTATTATCTAGTTGACATCTATTTTATTTTCTTGTGCTAGGTTGAATATTATAGAAAATCAACTTTATTTGAAACTATTAAGAATTTTATTGACGATTCGAAAGAATTTCAGAGTTCAGTGAGTAAAACGCGACGAAAGTATAAGTTCAATGACTATTGGAATATGATGAGTGAGCGATGAAATATAACGTATTATAATTTAGTGACTATTTCGAAGTATTTTAAAGTCCAATAATTTATGAAATATGGTGAGAGTTATTGATGAAGTGTAATATGTTAAAATTCAATGACGAGTAAAGAAGAGTAAGGTACAAGTTCAGCGACCCAAGAAACGGTCAAACTCCCTAATGTTACCCAAAACCCTAATTTTGCCTCGTACTTCTTTGGCCTCTGCCTTTAAATCCTACTCTCTCCCTCAAATTTTAGTCTTCTCAAAACACTAATCTTCAAGCCTCCGCCTCCGCTCTCAACCATTTGTCGCCATGGTAACCTTCCCTCTATCTCTTTCCTTCTAATTGAGCTTTTAATTATTCACGACCTAACATTATACTACTCTTTTCTGTGTTTTCTTGAAAATTGATATGATTTTATTTGATGTATATGCAGACTGGAGAAGCTGTGAACCCAAAAGCATATCCACTGGCAGATGCCCAGCTGACGATCACTATCATGGACTTGGTTCAACAGGCTGCCAACTATAAACAACTCAAAAAGGGTGCTAATGAAGGTTAAATTACTATTTTTTTCCTGTTTATAAGTTTGATCACGATCAACTGGAGGTTTGGGAATTTTTATTAAATGAAATAAATGTTGCAGCAACTAAGACCCTGAATAGAGGAATTTCAGAATTTGTCGTCATGGCTGCAGACACTGAGCCCCTCGAGATACTTCTTCACCTTCCACTTCTCGCCGAAGATAAGGTGTTTTTTCTATCTAGAAGTGGTTGGTTTTAAATATATGAATTATATTGATTTCGTGGAGTTAAGTTTATAACTATAATAATGGAATTGATATTTATCAGCAGACTAAGCATCAAAACTAAGTTTTTTAGTCCTTAGTTAGGTGGAAAATTTGACATAATGCAGTAATATGTTGAGTAGAAGGTGCTAAAAATGGAGCAAGAAGCCTGTGTGGATTAATATGTTCAAGAAGTTTTTTTGAAGTATATGTGATTCTGAACCTGAGGGGTAGCTCATAGGTGAGGCTTGTGTTTGCTCACTAATGGTCACCAGTTTACTAAGGTGAGTACCCGACTATAAATTTCAAAGCCCGTGGGATTAGTTGAGGTGTGGTAAGATGGCCAGAAGCTCACGGTCATCCAAAAAAAAAGATAGTATATGTGATTCTGGAATAATTAGTTATCCTGAATAAAATATTATAGATGTTATAAGAACTAACTGTCCAACATATTATGTGATTCTGGAATAATTAGTTATCCAGAATAAAATATTATAGATGTGATAAGAACTAATTGTCCAACATATTAACTCCATGTCCAAACTAAAGTAAAATCAATAGTTAAGAATCCAAGAATTCTATAATAAATTTGATCAAAAGTGAACTAGTGCACTGCTTGTGCATGTTCCACTTTCCAAATCTTATGGACTATTAAATTGTTGAAATTGTTAGTTTCATTTGCCTCTTGATTATAACTTGAAGCATTGGCGTGCATGTATTGTATCGGTTGACAGAGTTTGCTTTAGAGTAGGGAAGACACAATTGATACAAATAGGGAAAACTGGATTATTTTCATCAGGAATTCCAACTCATGCTCTCAGTTTTACGGAGAACTGAATAACTGTGGATTGGAAACATCAACTATGAATTGGTATCGACTATTGTTTTACTTCCTTTTCTGATTCAGATTCATCTAACCACGTAGAACTCGGGCAGTAAAAGGTGGAATTGCAATGAATGGTATTTTTTAATGGGTATCGTTATAGAAGAGGAAGGAAAGCGATTTCCTGTGAAGGTATGAGAGAAGCTAGGAGGGAAGGCCACTGGACTTTAACTATTGAATTGGAGGTAGAGGGAAGTCAGGGAGGTTTTGATATTCTGAAGCTGTCAGCAATGGACTAGAGGTGTGGTGAGGAACAGTGGTAGGGAATGTGGCATTGCGTTTGTTGGTGGCGACGTGGTGTTCGGTCTTGACAAATTCTGAGCTGTTGTTTTTGTTTCTTTGAGATGGGCAGTATGAGGTCTTGTGTGTAATTAGCTTTGTTTTTTTCCCCCTCTTTTACATGTGGGTCGGGGGGTGGGTGGGGGTAGAGGGAAGTCATGGAGATGTTTTGATATTCTGAAGCAGTCAGCAATGGACCAGAGGTCTGGTGAGGGACAGGCGGACAGCGGGTAGGGAATTTGGCATTGCGGTTGTTGGTGGTGACGTGATGTTCAGTCTTGACAAAATTTGAGAAGTTGTTTTCGGTCCTTTGGGATGGGCATCCTGAGGTCTTGTGTGTAATCAACTTTATTTTTTCCTCTTCTTGGTATTTATTTGTTATTCTGAACTAATGATGAATGAGTTGGTTAGGTCACTTGTTTAGACTTGTTAATTTAGATCAGTGTAATTGGATCACCATTTGCACTTGCTAACAATCACATTAATGGCAGGTGGGTTTGCGCTTGTTAATGGCTCGTATTTTACCCTTTTAAGTAGCCACATTATGGGCCATTTCCCTATGTTTGTAATATGTTGTGCATATTCTATAACTTAGAAAGACAATATTATCTGAAAACATATTTGCTTCCAATTATTACAGTATTGGTCAAATTGAATGTAGTTTCTCAATAACTCAACATCAGCTAACTTTCTTGCTTATAATTGCAGAATGTGCCCTATGTTTTTGTTCCATCAAAACAAGCTCTTGGTCGAGCATGTGGAGTTACCAGGCCAGTTATTGCTTGTTCTGTGACGAGCAATGAGGGAAGCCAGTTGAGAACTCAAATACTACAATTGAAGGTAAACTTTATGATGGCTCTGTTTTTTGTTTATATTAAGTTTCAGTTGATACTTGCATTCATTTACAAAATTTATCCTATGAATAGGATGCCATTGAGAAGCTTTTGATCTGAGTGTGAAAAGCCTTTTCCAGCATGATTGGCCTCTGGATTGACCGAAGGCTTTGACTGAGTGTGTTATCTTATAGAGGGATTATCTATAATCACTTTTCCATTTAGATGCTTACCCTCGCATTACAATGGGGAAACTTCTTTGCTATTAAATCTACATGTTTTGAGGATTGTAACGTTCTTGATCGAGTGAAGTTTATATTATGCTCTGTGTTCTATTCAAGTTCACAATTTTCTTGATAAGAAGCTCGGTAAATGAGTTTTGATAATCATGTGTGGGTATGCTTTAGAAAAGTTTTTTGAGTAAGTTTTTAACGTGCAATTTTTTATTGGTTAAAATTTACTTTTGACATTATGGTATGAATTTCTTTTAAAAACCTTTGATGCTAGGCCCCTGTTCGAGCCCCATTATTTGGGGAAAAAATTAGATTTTTAAATAGTAATTTGATATCATTTCAAGCACACATTCTTCAATAAAATAATATTACAGGTAAATTCAATTTTTTTTTTTTACTTTTTTTTAACAACACATTTTTTATCAATACATTATTTAAAAATGCATTTTTATGAAAAGAATGGAGCTCAAACAAGGTCTAAAATATAAAAACCTAACATCTCTAGACATTTTTGGAAATGAAAAGTAGGCTTGGGTGCAGTTAGGTTTAGGTCGATTTCGACTTCAACTAGAAATTAAAATCAAATTAGTCGATTTGGATAAATTTAAAACTAAATCAACCCACTCAAACTCTTAAATCGAATCGAACAAAACCAAATCGGTTTGGTTTGGTTCGGTTTAATTAATGGGTTTGGACTTTTAGTCCAAATTATTTTTTTTAGAAAAAATTGTCTGAATTTTAGGCTCAATTAAATTACAAGAACTAAAATAACTAAATAATTTTATATTATAATAACTATTGATTAACAAATAAAATCAAGTTAATAGAAACGAATTAATGGAAAACTTAAAATATTTATTGTTTTTTATGTATTATATAGTCTGATTGTTTGAATATGAAAAAAAATGTTAAATATAACATAATAAGCTTGTGAAAGAAAATTTTCAATGCTATTACCTACTGAAAACATCATAGATTGAAGTGAATCACGATATAGTTATGAGATTAGTGTTTATCTTTTGATTTTGATTTTTTTAAAGTTAAAAAAAGAAGAAGGTGAACACGTAAGTGGATTGGATTGGTTCGGTTCGGTTAACCAACGATTGAAAACTTCAAACCATGATTGAACCGATACACCATGATTTTGTTTAAAAGAAAACCAAATCAAACCAATTACATGTGTTGAACCAACCCAAACCATGATTGGTTTGATCGATTTTTCAATTTTTGGCCTAATGAAAAGTAATAGCGCTTCCTTTATGCTTAGCTAAGCTCTTGTTTGGGCTTTATTTTTGAAAAAATGCATATTTTATTTCTTATTTTTAGTCACACGTTTTTTAATAAAATAATATTACACGTAACTTTAAAATTTATTTTTAACTTTTAGTTATACGTTCTTCAAAAAAATCACTAATGCAAAATATATTTTGTATTTTTCTCCAAAACTCATTGTAAATGGAGTCCAAATAGGGGTTAAATATAAATATGCTTTAGTGATTGGGAGTTTTGGGGGTAGGGTTTTTTAAAGTACATTGGTTTTATGCATTTAATAGGGGGTTTTGTTTTTGTTGTGTTTTAATAGCGATTTTTCAAAATAGTCAAATTCATATTTGAGGGAAATTAATTATAATCGTCTTTATAAGTTTTTTAAAAGAATAAAATTATATATATAGTCCTTAGTGAAATTTAATATAATTTTTTTGTATGAAAATTTTTGCACACAAGTGATTTTCTATTTATAAGTAATTTTTTTTAAATAGGTTAATTTTTACCTTGAAAAGTAAAATATTAAATTATAATTAAATTTTTATCTTTCAAGCTATTTTGTACTTATAAGTAAATTTATACATATAATTTATTTTATATTTTAAAGTAATATTTATAATAAGTGAATTTTTATTTGTGTAATTTTTTATACTTTATAAGCGAATTTTGTCTTATTAATATTATTTTGACTTTTTAATAAAAAAAATTTAAATAAAAAGTGTACTTCTATTTTTTGACTTATAGGAATTTTTATCTTATTTTATTATAATGTAATGTTTTTGCTTATAAATAATTTTTTAATTGTTGTAATTTTATTTACAAGTTAGTTTTGAATTGTGAGTTGAAAATAATTATTTTATAAATGATAAAATTGGAAGAAAATTTGAGAAACGGTCAAAACTCACCAATTTGGTGGGTTGAGAAATACGGTGAAAATACATTAACACAATTAGTGCCCACAAAAAAAAAAAAGAAAAAAAAAAGCGCCGATTTACCCAACCTCTCATAAACAGTATCACCAACAAAGAGTATAAATTGGTGAAAAAAAAGGAGGTCCAAGAAGGCCTTTAGTGATTTCTCAAAGCTTGATGAAGGTTATAACCTCTCGTGTTATTTCTGAATGTTTTGCAAGCTCGAAGTACGTGTTGATCTGGCAATATATGTATATGTTTACTTAAAAATATTAGATAAAAAATAACTATTTCTTAAATAAATTCAGGTCGATTTAATTAAGTATTCATGTACAATTGACCATAATTGCCCTGCTGTTTCCTTCTTCAATATTCCAGTGGTTGACAATATAAGCACACCTGCAACTCTGTTGGTTTTAACCATTACATATTCACAAGCTTGCCTGGAAATGGCAGCAAATACTTAACAATTAATGTTTAATAATAACCACTTACCTACTGCAATTAGGTTTTCAAAACATAAGAAACAGTGTCTGACAAAAAAATGTAAAATTTAAATAATGTTCAAAACAACCATTGTTTCCCATAAGATTGCATCATTCCTTTTCAAATCAGTCAATGAAATTAATAGACAGACATATTATAGCAATTCAATTCACACTCATTGATTATTAGCAACTTTTTTTTATTTTAAATAAAACTTTGTTAAAGATTTTGAATTAGGTTGACTATATTCATATCATATCTTTTTATTGCACCACATTTCAATAGCAATGAAGGTTCTGAATTTTTGTTCAACTTTGTACTTATATCCTTAACGTCTTTTCGTTGTATTCTTATCATCATCATTTTATTAATTAACACATCTTAACCCTGATGACGGTTTCCGTTTAAAAGAAACTCAAGGCATGCACAGATGATGATTGATGCACTGAAAAATGCAAAGTAATTCTGTTAATATGTGCAATTTTTCACCTTAACACAATTTTGGCTGTGTTTGATTTTTGTAGAACAAGTTCCATCGCTGTCTGTTGGACAAAATGATACTCTTATTTTTTTCTCATTTCCCACTGGTAGTGAGGGGAGGGATGTATTTGATAGATATGGTTGTTCAAAAATTCAAAGATCATGCGGGATTCTTGATTCATTCTTTCATTAAATCTTGGGGTTTGTCAAATGACTCAAATACAAAGATCAATATTGACAGATCATCCTGTTATAGAATGGTTCTCAAACAAAAAAAAAAAAAAAAAAAAAAAAGGGCCCCACCTTAATTTCATCTACTGGATTAAATTTAACCAAAGCTTTAACTGCATTTTCTTTGAAACGTTACGTATCTTTCAAAATATTTTCTTTTCACACACTAAACCTCCCTTAAATTGAATACATCAACGAAAAATTCCTTTTCAAGCATCCAGCCTAAATGGAAAGTTCTTTATCAATTCTCATAATACAACGTAGTACCAGATAACGAACGTATAATGACAATGACCTTAATCCACCTTATAAATACCATCCCACCAATGAATTTATGGAAGTTTAGTTTTATGGTATCTCTGCCAATATTTTGTGAATATCGATTCAATTCTCAGGAAAAAAACACGGTTGTCGTAAATGATAGACAGATTTAGTCACATTTCATCGTATGAAATACTTCTATACCATGTCTTACACTGAATCTTTGAGAGTAATTTGAGTACACTGACTCATAATCTAAAATCACTTAATTTTCTTGTATTCAATTTTTAATTTCTTCGATAATTATAAATATCTCGAAATTTACAAACATATTATTAATCCAATATTCTATGACTTCAACATAAATGCATTTCAATTTAATTTTTACAATTAGAGATCATGCCCCCTTAATTGAAATCCCAGATGTTTTCAAATTATTCTAATGTCTCCATGTGTATTTCAGTTGATTTCCTCCATCCTGCAGACAACCCTGCAATAAGTACTAACAAATTGTATGAACAGTTCTTGAAATTCAACAAAGGGAACCTTCCATCAAGCCACATGGTTATGATATTTTGCTGTTTTTGGCCTTCATTTTTTCACAAATGCATTTTTTAAAACTCATTTTTAATTATACATTTTTTCATAAAATAATGTTACACATAAATTTAAAATTTTTCCTTATTTTTGAAGTACACATTTTCCCCTAATTTTCATTTTGATGGAGCCCAAACAGGGTCCAGACATACAAACCGTCTTGTCTAAAAATTTGAATCATTTCTATAATCAAATTATGGATTTTCGATGTCTTTCATGTGCAAACTATTTAAAGCCTACGGGTAATTGGCACAAAACGTCCCTACCTTTTAAGTCTATTGTGGAAAACGTCCATACCTTTCATTTTTTGGCATTTTTGCCCTCATTTCAACATTTCTTTGCGCTGGACGTCCTTCCGTCCATATTCCATCAGTTTTTCCGTTAATTAAAGGGTAATTGACACAAAACGTCCCTACCTTTCAAGTTTATTGTGGAAAACGTCCCTACCTTTCATTTTTTGGCATTTTTGCCCTCATTTCAACATTTCTTTGCGCTGGACATCCTTCCGTCCATATTCCGTCAGTTTTTTCGTTAATTAATTACAAAAATACCCTTTTCTTTCCATAAACAAGGGTAAAATTGTCCTTACCCACTTCACCCCTTTTTCCCGCCATCAACTTAGTTCATAAGTAACAGTAGCAGCAACATGAATCTGAAAATACTTTAAATGATTAAGTTAAATAAAGAAAAAATATCGTGAACACATTAAATTTCACAATTCCACAACTACTGTTGCTGTCATCTTGTGTCACTGGAAAAATTTAGAAAGACATATTAAATGGGTAGTCAATTTATAATGAG